AGGGTAGGGTCAGGTAACTTCAAAACAGGGGCACGAATCAAGGCCTCCTTGAGACGTGTGAAAGCCTCCTGACATTCTGATGTCCAAAGAAAGGAAGTGTCTTTCTTTGTGAGATCATTCAAGGGAGCTGCAATAGAAGAGAAGTTTTGGATGAACTTCCTATAATAGGATGCAAGTCCCAAGAATGACCGGACATCACGAATGTTAGCAGGTCGCAGTCAGTCCTGAACTGCAGCAACTTTCGTTGCTTCAGGAGCTAACCCCTCTCCAGAAATGACGTGACCCAGATAGACCACAGAGGGAACCCCAAAAGAGGATTTCTCCCTGTTGATCTTATATTGGTTATCACGTAAGGCCTGAAGGACCAGAGCTAGATGTTGCGCATGCTCCTAGACAGAACGACTGAATACCAATATATCATCAAGGCAGACAACTACGAACTTGTCCAGGTAAGGACTGAGTATGCGATGCATCTCTGTTAGGAAGGTGCCTGCGGCGTTGCAGAGACCGAATGGCATGACCAGGTACTCATATGTGCCATACCTGGTTTTGAAGGTTGTTTTGTGGACATCACCTTCAACCATCTCAATCTGGTGATAACCAGATTTGAGGTCGATCTTGCTAAAGATGGTATAGCCCTGCACAATGTCCAACAGATCATCAATGCGAGGAAGGGTCTCTGTAGACTTCCTCGTGATTTTGTTGAGACCACGATAGTCCACGCACATCCTTAACTCACCATTCCCCTTTGGAACAAAGAGGACTAGTGCCCCAAACTCAGATGTGTTGGGCCTGATCCAGCCCTTGCTGGTCAAGGTCTCTAACTGTTTCCTAAGCTCTTCAAGTTCAGCAGGTGACATCTTGTAGACTCGGCCCTTGGGAGGGACCGAGCCAGGCAGGATCTCAATCTTATGTTTGGTCTGCCTATGGACAAGTCCAGTAGGCACCTCCATAAGATATGAGAAACGGTCTACAACCTGCTGAATTTAAGAGGGACAGGGAACAGTCCCCACGTCAGTCTGTTTGACATAAGCCACAAACAGACGGGCGTGATCAGTCTGGCGTGAAAATCGCAGAAATCTACGAGCACTCATGCAATAACAGCTGCTGGCCGGATGGTACTCATCAGCGAGCATACAAGGGCGATAAACCCCATGCCGGTCAGGTAGCTCAACCCTAGGAATCCGCCAGTCGATCCTAGGGTTGGTGGCACCAAGCCACTGCATAGAGAAAGCAAGGTCAAAGGGAACATTAGGAAACACGTAGAAATTCAGGTGGTGCTTGATTTCTCCCTGCTTGTCAAAGGACACAGGTAGGCCCTTGACAACAGTAGTGATCCCGACTAAGGAAGAGTCCCCAATGCGAACCTCTATAGGTTGTCGCAATTTCACCAATCTCTGATCCATGCGCAACTTGCTGACTGCCTTGGGAGAGATGAAGTTGCGATTAGCCCCACAGTCCAAGAGCCCTTTGATCTTGGCTCCCAGGATGAAGGGTCGGAGTAGGATGAGTTCAGACATATGCTTTTTCTTTTTTTCCTGCAAGGACAGGAAAAGGTCAGCAAGGCACTGAGCATCGTTTTCCTCCCACGTCTCATCCAACTCAAAGTCTTCAAAAGTGAAAGACCCTGATGAGGCAACTCCAGAAATGGAAGAACCGGCGAGAGAATGTGAAGATTCACCCTCGTCTGAAAGTGAATCAGCACTGGTGGAAGGAGTTGATGCTTCCACCTCTCTCTGCTCTAGTTTTTTTAACTAGAGCTGTCGGTAGACCTACGAGGCATGCTGGGACAGTCCTTCAGGAAATGGTCCCCCTCGCATCTCATACAGACCCCCTTGTCCTTTCTCTTCCTCCATACCCCCTTCCTGGATCCTGAGTGCATGCCAGGGGAAGGTGGAAGGATCAAGGGGATCAGCTGGCCATCGGACGTCACGTTGTAGGGGCCGTACCCTGAAAGACTTTCGAGCCTGAGTCGACCCCGCTGCGGGTCCCCTTTGGCTCGACCCGCCCACGCTCACGCTCAGGGCGCAGGTCGTTCCTCCCAGGGGCACCCCCACCTGGTGCTATGAGATGGACGGGGATGGGCCTGTTGCGAGAGGGCTTTACATTGGGGTATGTAGCTTCGCCCTCGCGTCAAGATGGTAGCTCTTTGGTCACTTGTGGCGTTTTCTTGATTCAATTAGGTCTGACCAAGCAATTGCTCCTTCCAATACGCAAGCAGTCCAGGGGGTTCGTTGAGGATTCGTCTTCTTACCGTGCGCAGGCCAAGCGTCATCCATTGGGCCACGCACCTTTTCACTAAGTCTAATGGCTCAAGACAGCCCCTACGGCATCCTTGGGGTGGGGTGGTATCGCCCGGACCCCTAGCCGCTATATTCTTTTTGCTTGAGCAACTAGCATTGCATTCACCTATCCAAGACTGCCCATAGTCTTTCCGGGCTTGCATTGCATTCAAGAGAGCCATTGCGTTCAATCATCACTCAAGCCCCATCCGGGTATCTACCATTCATCCAAGCATCCATCCATCGAGCTCATCCCACATTCACCGCTTAGGCTAGGTCTAGGTCCTTCCCTTGTCCATCCTTCCCACCCTTGTCCGCGTTCTGCGGGTCTGATCCCGCTCAAAGCCTTCCCAAGTTACTCACCTGCGCAAGGCCACACAAAGCAATGCCCAAGTACGGTCCCCCCTGGGGTCAACACATCGTCCCTTCCCACAAGCCTAAGTTGTCTTAGCCCCCCCCCCAACCTCCTTATAAGTTCCCTTTCCCTTCCCACAAGCAAGCCATACAATCCTCTTAGTCATGCAGTCGGGGGAGATGGTTGAGTCAAACTGACCTCGTCACAAAGCTTCACTTTCTCCCGCTTTCCCCAGATGCTCACAAAAGTCCGGTACCTTTTCCTTCTTGGCGGCACAAGGGACCAGCAGCCCCCCCCCCTTGCCCTCGCTTTCCACCAAGTGAGGATCAAGTTCCTTGTTGTTCGTTCCCTGACAATGTAACGGGTGAGGGGAGAGGTTAGTCACAAGCCATGGAGGAAAAGGGTGAGGGGAGAGGTCAAAGGTCTTTGAGGAAAATGTAGGAAGGGGAGGAGAGAGAGAGAGAGAGAGAGAGAGAGAGAGAGAGAGAGAGAGAGAGAGAGAGAGAGAGAGAGAGAGAGAGAGAGAGAGAGAG